GTGAAGATAACAGCCAGCTGCTTCTCCGCAGCTATCACGTGTGGCGCTCCCACTGGTCTTGTCGCGGGACGAGTGTGGATGAGACTTAATGGCAGAATAGAAACAGCCTCCACCTCCTCAATAGCTATCACTGCATTTGTCGCCAACACTATCACTCGTGGTGTGAGGCGGGCTAATTGAGCAACCAAACGACCATATGTAGCATGACTAGGCCTTCAAAATAACTTGCCACTATCGTTGGGTGAAACTGTTAATCCATTAGTAGTTTTAAGAGAGGTCAGTGATTTGGCAATTAGCTATCTCCTCCAGTGACCAAAACGTTTATGAATAGCATGGATCTTTAACGCCAACGGCAGAGGTGTCGCTCGAATACAGGATTAATGCAATGCAAACGATTTTCGTGTCCTCTTCATCTGCTGGTTACAGTCATTGCTGCCTTTACAAGATTGAGTGGCCTTAAAGTCGTGCCAAAAGCCCCCACATCTTTTCTTTTTCCGAAGATACATGAGTATACGGCGTAAGGTAGCGTAATAATCTGTTAATGTTACCACCTGTATGAATGTTGATGTTGGTGTCATGTTAAAGCCCCACCTCCACCCCTTTTGTCTGAATGAAAGCATTCAGTTACTCCTCCTATTACCTAATAAAAATTGCTTCTCGACGCCAGCGATGGGAACTTTTCGTTGGAAAAACTGGACCAGTCAAATACTTTTCAAAATCGGAATACATCAGATTGAGAGGTTAGTCCAGTTCTTTATTTGTAAAATTTTAGGCCTGTTAAGTGCCTATGATTTGATGGTGCAGAAAATTTCTGACCATTATAAAGTTCTAAGGCCGATTGTCGGGATTAAAAGGACTGCTTCTAGGCCATTTTTTTACAGCTCGATAGTAAACGTACTTCCCAACCCCTAACACAATCCCACACAAGCAAAATCGCAGGAATTGCTAATTAAACCTGACGTATTGCCTGAGCAACGTGTCCCCACCTAAAACTGCAATCAGGAAACAGCAACAACACCAGTTTGCAGAATGAGAACGCATGTATTAACCCTGTCAAATGAGTTTTGATTGTTGGCATAAGTGTAGGCGAAATGCTGGAGCAAAATAAGCTTATGATAAAATCCTAAAATTAATGTTTTAATGTATGTTTTAATGTATGTATGTGTTGATTAGCAAAAATCACACGCATAAAACCACACACAAAAAATTAACGGAATGCAGAACTGCATGAGGGTGATAAAACGGAGAGAATGTCATACAAAATGGAAGGCTGGTTTCCTTAACAAAAATTCAGGGTAGAGGGAAGAAAAACTGGTGAAGACAAAGCAAACGAAGACTGAGAGGACGCTGCCGCATACTGTGAGATATCCGTCTCAATCCTACCAGTAATAGTGAGTGGAGTGAAGTTCTTTAAATCATTGGTTTCGGCAAATTTTGCGCTGCGGAGGCACCACTTGATGCTGTTGCTGCCGAGTTGTTGTGGGCACTGGAGAGACGAGTTTGTCATAATTTGTCAAGGGAGATAAGGTGGTGGGTGGAAGGGAGCTCTCATGTGGGACTGGTGGGAGAGCGCGGTGACGACTAGTGGCACGCGACGACGAGGATGAACTGCTCGAAAGACTGACAGCAGTAAAACTCTTTGAAAGGCTGCTGTTTGTGGTCTTCGATGTGCTTGACGCCTTCGTGGAGGGCTCTGGCGCGGAGATGATAGCTGAGAAAACAGGATGTTGAAGTAGACGATGAGCTGTGGGTCTCTGTTCCGGAACACGATTGAAACATGAATCTAGAAACTGTTTGACTGAAGGACTGATTGACTTTGGATAAGAGGGCGGTTGATCAGTTGATGCAATCTAGCATGATGACGGTAAAAAAAGGGCATTGATAAATAGATAGCTTAATAAGAAAAATAATCTATTAGTTAATAAACCAAGCAATAAGTTAATGTTTATTTTCAAAATGCCTGTCAATCCTGTCAGCAAAACTTCACAGACTACAATAGCCTTAACAGTCAGTGTAAGTCGATTGGCCTTTAGCATCTTTTTCATGCGTACTTCATTCCTTCGTGTATGGAGTTTCTTAAGGCGAAGAATTGCACATTTCAGACGTTAACTGGTACCCATGTGTAATAAACTTAAGTCTCAATGCTCACCGTAAACATCAAGGCATATTGATTTGTGAGTCGGGAGTCATTCCAGGGAGGTTTACCACTCAACATCTCCAACAAGCAGCATCCGACTGACCAGATATCGCATGCTCGACCATACGTCTCGCCTCTAAGCACCTGCAACACCCCAAGGTAAAAAATACTCTTTACTGATGAAAATAAGTAGCAAAATAAAATGCATGTAACTCGGGGACTTACTTCTGGAGCCATGAAAGCGAAGGTGCCGATTACTTGACCCTGAAATTGACCTGCTACGCTGCCCTGGCTGCCCAGTCGTGCTGAGGCACCAAAGTCCGATATACGTACAACACTTCCGGTGCAGTCAACCAGTAAATTTGCTCCTGTCACAAGTATAAACAGTAAATAAAGGAAATGTTTCGGAAATATTTAGCTAAGCTGAAAATGATATTTGTAAGTGCAGTAATGTTTTAATTAATGCAAGTATGCATCGTTTTTTGCCATGGATTCAAAATCATGACTATGAATTACTTTTGCATAATTATTCTCAAGTCTATTTGGTAAACTAGAAATTTTATCAAACATCTGCGCGTACTAATCTACCCATTATGAGTTTTGAAATGATGTTTAAACACTTATTTACAAAAACCGAGGACGTATACCTTTTAAGTCTCTGTGAAGAATCCCATGTTTGTGAAGACAAGAGATGCCTCTAACCACCTGTAGGATGTAAGCCAAGGACACGGGTTCAGTAAAGGCCCCATACTGGTTCAGTAAACTTGTGATGCTTCCGCCCGGCATCCATTCTACGAAGATGTCCACGTGCTTTTTCTCAGGATTGTAGGCGATACCGAACAGACGGAGAACATTGGGATGATAAAGTCGTCGCATTATCTCCACTTCCTCTCTCGCGGTTACCAGTTGCTCCATCGCCTCTGCAGAGGAGTCACCCACGAAACGCAGTCGTTTCACCGCCATCAGCGTGCCCGTTCGAATGTCGCGAGCCTGATAGCATAGTGAAAATGCACCCTTACCAAGAAAGGGTCCCAGTAACCAATCAACTCCCTCTCTGTATCGATACTCGCTTTTTAGTGGGTCTTTGGTGTCCAAAGCCTGTGCAAGGTTAGGAATCGTCACCAAAGGCACGGGTGACCAAGCGGCTCTTCGAAGGGCCGTTTTCAAAGCTGACAGTTCTGCTGGACTTGGGATGACCGGAATGCAGGATGGTGCTAAATTCCTAGCAGGCTCTCCATTTCCTTGATACTGGTGTTGTTGTGGTTGTTGTGTTGTTCTAACCTCCTCCCAATCTAGTTTCTCCAGAGGTTCCTCATCCCCACCTTCCCCATCCTCTTCCTCTTCACTGCTACTGTAGACACCAGCAGTTTCGGAGAGTGCTACGTGGTCGTAAGCGGGTTCAAGAGCAACTCTAACACCGTTGGGAGTGATTATCCGCGTATTATTATTGTTAGTGGACGGAGGTCGAACAGGCGCTTTGGTCTGGGAAAAGCGTCGAGGTGGAGGAACGGGTGGAACTTCATGCTCAGGTGGTGGGGGTGGTGGCTGAGACGATGTGGTAGTAGAGGCTACGACGGAGGCATTTGCGGTGACAGTATTATTCGTAGCATTGACGGTAACTGGGTTGGATGCGATGACAGTAGCCACGGAACTGGTAGTAGTGGTTGTGGTGTTCGCGTTGAGAAGATCGGCTAATTTGGCACGTAGTTTGGCAGCTAAACTGACATCGAGAAGCTTGATTTCAGCACTGACGAAACTCTCAGCGTCAGGAAGTGAACTTCCATTGGCCGAAGAGGAGGATCGGGGTTCTTGGAGCAAAGCTCGTGCTACTGTAATGAACACGCGTCGGGCCTACAAAAAGGGAAAATTGTAGCGGTTCTAGTAAGTAGTAGAGACTAGCAATGAACCATATAAAGACTCCACTTATTACTCCTTGTCTTTGAGGAACTTACGAGTCGGCTGGCTTTGATGTTAGCTTCCATAAGACAGGCGAAAGAGCTAATCTGCACCTCCTCAGGTTGTTGGCCGGCCACTCCCACAACCTTGAGGGGGGATGCAGTGGTGTTGCTTGCAAATGCTATGGGATTCCTCCGAAATCGCGTTGCCATAGCATCTTCAGACACAAGATTGTGCGGAAAGACGGGCTGTTCAGGAGGATAGACGTGACGTCGGGTGAAGATAAGACTGGAACAAAGGTGACGGTAGCTGATGCGCTTATTGGACGCGTCTTTGGTAACTGGAACCTCACCAGCACTGTCGCCAGTGCTGATTGCAGCAACCGTTTCACGGTGCATTTCCACTAGCTTCTCTAAAAGCTTCAGTCGACCCACCAAGTGAGTTTGATGAAATTTGGCCGAACGCAGTAGAAAGTGCGCCATATGCGGCAGCCCGCTGATGGACATGCATTCCTCCGCTGCGGAGAAGAGACAACAGGATATCTTATTTTTCACTTTACATTAGTGGTTGATAATGCATTCAATGGCAAAATCTATTGGTAGAACAAGTAATTAAACCCTCTTCTTTCTGCTCAGATTGTCGGTTCTGACTTCTCTTAAAATCTGTGCTTTAGAGAGGCAGCACTTATGGTCAGCCCAACGTCCCTTGAGATTTCACTATGAGGTGTTTGATGAAAACAAATTTTAATAAAATGTCCGTGTTTCATGGACCGAACAGACCAAACAAAACTTAATTAATCTGAAAGAGTTTTAATCCTCTCGAGAGAAAGGTTTTTTACAAGAGTCTTGTTGTGAGGTAAATTTGCCTTTTGTAACATTTTCCATTGACGACTATCTGGATTTCACGTCGCAACGGAATGGAGCAAAAGGCTGATCTGAGGTTTATATACGTTATTGTTTTTTCACCTCAAATTACTGTTACTCAAGACTTCCCTGGTCAGCAATCACAAGCATCAAGGTCTTCAAAATTGGACAAAACTCCCTCGTCAGCTCGCCACAAAACGTCAAAATCACCACCTTCATTCATGAAGAGGGCAAAATAAAACAAGAGAGCTCAGACCAAAATAAAGGATTTTTGCCTTGACCTTCTCTCTGGGTGCCCTCTTAAGGTAGAAGGCAGTGAGAAGGGAGGGGGAGGGGACTCGTAACCTAAAATGACAAGTTCATTTAACGCTCTTTTTAAGCAGGTTGAGTGGATATTGAAAGATTAAAAAATGTATCTTCAGTCCCATTTGCATTCCTCCTTTTTAAAGAAAGGAAAATACCTCATGAGTGTTGTGGCAATGGCGATTAGATGACTCATCCTCCTCCCCCCAACCGAGATTGAAAAGGAAAAATTTGTGTCTCAAATCAGCTAAGAAAACCGACTCTAACATAACAATCCCAGTTAATATTAACTACCAAGGTTCACCACCAATTCACTCATGATGAACCACTAAGCATCAACAATGTGGATTTCATTTTGATTCTCTAGAAAAATTTCCATTAAAGAGATTTAGTGGTTAAAATAACAGTATTATTGAGTGCGTGACATTTGCAGTGAATTAGTTGAGACGACCATGGGAACCGATTATGTTCGCAAATTTAAATTTTCATACTCTTTGAGACACCGTCTCATACCTTGTATTCCTTAAGTTGTTTATTATACTCGCGGTTTGGGCAGAGGGACAGGTGTCAGGAGCCTCACCTCGCCTACGGATCCCATCTCCAACAAACGACATCCAACTTACGAGAGCTGTAAATTCTTTTTGGAAATTTTATTTCACAGGTATGCTTGAGAAGCAAAATTGGCTATCCAAGATGGCCTTTGCGTTAACTCACAACTTTAAGAAAGCGCCTTGCGCCTATCTTTGTGCGACTCATTGGTTAATTGTTAGCCAACGGGAAAACATGCAGGGTTGAAAACGGGACTTGATGAGGCGCAGAGCAGCAACATTGACCCTACAAAAATGTCGCTTTCAGCAAGGCAAATGCGTCATCTATGGGTTTCTCTGTTCTAACGCATTCTTAAACATGCCCTCTCACTCACCGCATTGGATGTAAGGTAGGCCTAGTAAAGGGACTAGAGCTGAACATGTGATGTTCCGTGATTAATGACCGTACCGCACACTTCAAAGCCGGTAAAACAGTGTAATACGTCGTTTGGTTGTCTGATTCTTTTGTAATGGGGCTATTTAGGCGCTCCGCCTTTGTACCATCTCTGAGTTGGCTGAACTTTAGGCCATGCCGGTAGGTCCAAGCCTTATCGCCCTACATTAGTAGCAGCCTTCATCAAAACCCAACTCGAAGGACCCAATGAGGCAGAAATGCTGGTGACACTGATGGGGATTTGAAGACGTTCCATAATAGAATGGCGGCATTAGCTTTGAACTATCTGGGCACCTGTGTCCCGTATAGAGGCGTAAATCACATGAGCACTCGTTAGCCCTTGCTGCACGCCACCGGTGGTCCGATGGAATAAACATAGATACGAGTGGACAACTCCAGTGGTAACAAGGCGAAAAATAAGTAAAGTCCCATCTTCAAAGGGACATTCCCATGATTAGCCTTGGATATCAGCGATGGCTGGCCCTAATCCCATCCCTCAATTTCATTTCTTATAAGGCAGGTCGAAAATCTAGAGCGGATGGAATTGTCGAAGGGAATAAAGTGTCGATCAGATGAATTCAAATATGGTCTCATTGGCACGGTGGGTTCGTGGGTGCCTTCATTACCTCACCAATTGCTTTAAGAAGTCTGACGCAGGTGGTTGATCAGGCAGAGCGCCAGGGAAGGCGGTTAACGTAATGCCAAACCTGACATTTGCCATTCGTCCAGGGTATTACAACAAAAGGGCACCATTAAAGCAGGGGAACTTACCTAGTCGAGGAGTGGGCTTCAAGCAAGGGCAAGTTTTGTTGTTAAAAGTGTAAGTACTAAAGGTAAGCAGATGGACACTAATAAAGTGGAAAAGCAGTTTATACAGACACGTAAGTGATCCGTAAGCCAGACTGTCAAGGCCATCAGTGCATAAAAGGAGACTTCAAAGAGGGCTGACAACCAGTGTGCAAAAGGTGCAAGTAAAGTCGATAGCTATTTAACCGACTACAACGTCAAAAATGAAACCACTATCAAGCAGTGTGCTCTTGACCCACATCCACCTGCGCCAGGCACGAGATTGTTTTAGTAAGAGCTTCGCGTTTCCAACAAATCGCTGATGTTTCGGTAATTTTGTTAGGCAAAAAATTAACAACGGTAATGTTGCGTGATTTTAGCCGAACGAATGAACGAAATGCGGCTCTCCCTGTCAGTTCACCAAAGCAAAATGAAACTTTTTTCAATAGCGGAAACTCGTTGCCGACGGCAGCCCGCTAAGCGATCGAAAGCAAATGGAAGCTTCTCCTCTCACCCCCGAACGGAATCATGTAGTTGATGGATTTTAAAATAAGCATAGCCGGATCTCCGCATTTCAAGCCAATTCGTGTTTAAGTATAAAACCTTCCAAAAGCCCTCCTTCACTGTCCAAAATCGTGGCTTTGGGGTCAGGCTGTGCACCCAAATATTGTGAAGTGTGCGATTGCATTAGTGGTAAGGAGCAAAAAAAGGAATGAAGGGTGACTCTTAAACTAGTTGGATGGAATGTATAGAGACAGCGTTTTCTCTTTACTTTAAAACGCAACAAAGATGTCCTCTCACAGAATCTTACCGTTGCTGGTGTCCCTTCCAATGGACATTTCACCCTCCTGACCCTTGGCCAGCTCTACAAGAGTCACCAGAGCTAAATTGGCTCGTCGATGTTGATCCGGCGGTGGTGGAAGTGTCACATCGATGGGTGCTGCTCCGCCCTCGGTGGTCACTGTTGACGTTGTAGCGGTTGGAAGGTTTAGGTTGGCCACGTTATTGATGGGTATGTAGCCGGGAGTTAGGTAGCCACCAACAAATATCAACAACCGTCGTAGAACTGGTGCAATTGTGCGTTGCAATGCCGTCATGGTCTCCGTGTCGAGGCAAATGAGGTAGCCCAGAATTTCTCGAAATGCACACTAGATGCGTAAAAAGGCGAGCACTAACAGATCGGACTAGATGAAGGGAGGCTTCAGTGGATGCAATCAATCAGAAGGAACTGCTTTTGACGTCATGGCTGCTTCATAAGCGGCAGAAAGGTGGGAAAAACTGTGAAGATTTGTAGAATGTTGTGCTAATTTGTTGTCTGAATTCTAAAATCTGTGGCATCAAAACTGTAGTGTACTTGGACTTGACTTTGATGCTTTTGCAACAAATTTTTTGGTGTACAAAGTGGAAGGGTGTTTGTCATCACTGCCACAGATTACTACTTTTTTAGTGCACAAAAAAGTAAGGTATCCAGACACTCAGAAAAAACTTGCGGCAAATTACTTGCATAAGGCACAGATTTTGCATTTCATTTTAGTCTGCCAAGGAAAGAAGATGGAGGAATTATCGCTCCGTGGAGCAGTCACACTATGCACATTCAATCGACACCTCTTACATGGAATGTTAAACACTTCCTCCTCCCATAAGTGGGAAGGATTTCTTTTGTCGGTAAATGATATACAGGACCATCACCCTTGGGAGGACCAACGTTCCCATGGCAGAATCAAGAATGATAGGAACAACTGACTTTTGATAGTTTAAATGGTTGCAATAAGCGTATCCTCTCCTGTCAATGCTGTCGTCCGCTCGGTAACCATCTCTGGTTTGCTTGTGGTATAACTTTGATCATATTAATAATCAAATTGTGAAATTAAGTTCTCGTATTTATCGACCGCTAAAAGAGAAATTTCTGGTAAGTAGCAATATTAACAACAAGTTGTCATCTCACAATTTTGTTTTTGCAACATCTACAAGCGGACGAGTCTGTGGCCCACGTTAACGCCTTCTCTCACCTCTGTACGTCAGCAGTACGGATTTCTTTTTCATTTGAGTGACATGTCAATTGCAATGGAAAGGGAATCCCGCAAATGCCTCTGCTTATAATGAGAGATATGCCTTAGAGAAGAAGGGCTTATGTTGTATGTGGGGACTCAGCGACGATCTAGCAACTGCTCCAGACCCATAGTCCGGATAAAAGATGCCAAAAACTGGGGCGACACTGGTCGCAAAATGCCACTGGAGACTCTGGTATGGACCTAGCTTGGCTAAGGATGGATAGAGATAGGCAGCTCTGAATTGCAGATATGGGAGCTGAATCTGTGGTAAAATTCGTCAAACTTTACATGGCTCTGATTTTGGGCCAGTGTCCCAATGGTTAGCCAGTGGATATGCTCCATGGCCACCACATTTCGTCCTCCAGCCAATAGAAGTACCAAAATGAATAAAATAAAATGTAGTCAAACACTGATTTGGGTTATCAGAAAATTGGAGATCAGTATGACAAATTAATGGTCGTTACTGTCACATCTCTGAGCGCTGTGCTACAACTGAAAGTTGGAGATTGAGCGACAACAGCGCTGGCGACAGCAAACTACAAAGGGAGAGAGTAGTTTAGCTCTCCCTTACTTGATTACTTGAATCTCAATTTTGGTAGCAGAGTCATTTAGGCACTCTGTCATCGCGCCACATCGAACATATCAGTAATCTCCACCTAACTCTATGTGTTGTGTAAAGAAGTCAAGTCCATTGAAAGGCAAACACTGGAATTAATGCCTTATGTTCCAGCCTAAAACGCAACCAAAAGGCCTGTATACGAAACAGAAAAAAAAGTTAGGTGTCTTTTAGCAAAAAAAGGCGAACTATGCAGTAGTCATATTTCTTATCACACAACAATCTGACACGTCATTCATTGGCAGGGACAAAGCACACGGAATGGGATGTTATGCTTTTTCGTGGGGCAACAGTAACCTTTACTTTATAGCAGGACCTAGATCCACCCCCTTCCCACTTGAACAACAAGTATTTAACCAAAATGCTCTCATATTTTTTGCCACTGTACTTGATGGTTACGTCAGAGTTCCTCCAAATTGCTTACTCCCTCGAGCCAACTCCAAGGTCCTTTCCTACACCTCAAACAGTCACCAAAGTTGGCTAGAAAGATGCGTATTTCATGATAATACATTAACTCTAAAACTTCTCCCCATGATTAAAATATGTGCTGCCATCTCTTGCCTAATTTCTTATAGCATTGTACACTTGAGAGGATTTTGGAACCCCAAAAGAGTGACATAATAATTAAAACTGAATCTCTTTCTTGCTAATTTTTACTAACACGGAAGTCATGTCGCTTTGTCTGTGGGGCTAATTCCACCTCCCTCCCTGAGGGCAAGTTCGAGTTATAAGTAAACAGAAATTCCGAATATTATTGTAATGAGGGAATTAATGGTCATTTTAGAGAATCAGTCAGTCGTCCCTGCCTTGCTAAACACACACACACACACACACACTTTTTTTTCAATTAGACGATGCTTTTGATTAGCATTATTTATTTATTTACACGCACAGAGCAGTGACTAAGTCTTCCTACGTGTGTGTGTGGATAATCCCTGGATAATTGCAGCACGGAGACAGAAGAAAAGAGAAAAAACTGAAAGCACCCTGGCTACAGAGTCCGTTTTATGCCCTGGGGATTTCGGCAAAAGAAAAGGGGGAGAGGAGGAAGACGAGGGGGGAGAGAGGGGAGCAGAAAGGAGAAAGGGAAGAGTAGAGTAGGTGGCGGAATAACACCAGAATGGGAGAGTTCGGTTAGCGCGTGCTAGTCCGACTGCCCACCCGAGAAAACTCACAGCATCGCGTCGCAGACTCTTCACTGTTTCCGCACGAACGCACAAATTCAATTAGGAGAAAGAAGGAGGAAGAGGAGGAGATGGTTTGTATGTGTGTGTGTGTGTGTGAAAGCCTCTTTTTTTGTCCCAGAACGTTCGTTCACCAAGCCGTCATTAATCATCTGTAGGTACAGTTGGAAGAGGACGTGTCGTTTAGCTAACTAGCCCCACCACCACACTGCCACCCTCGTTCTCCTCCTCCTCCTCCTTCACCTTGTGTTCAAAAATTTCCTATTTCTGGTCTGCCTCTTGGCTTTGTTAATTAGTCCATTTTGAGAAGAACACATATTTCCACCTTCAGCCATATGTTTGTGACACACGATAGAAAAAAGCCATTTATCTGAGGAGATAAGGAGAAGGCTTTACCCCTCAAAAGCACCTTTCTGCGTCTCAAAATGACAGAAAGTAGATTTGGTTGAGTTTCGCAAACGCACATAAATTTGACAGAAAGAGTGTTAAATAATGCATGCCGGGTGAGCATTGTCAGGCACCCCAACTGCGCCTCATTTAAACTCTGGCGCGAAAAGATGTCCACTTTTAAGCCTTGCGAACTTAGCTAATTTACATTCAACCTGTTACTAAGACGTGGTAAAGAATGCGACTTCTTCAAACTGAAATCAGCTTACCAGTGAAGCAATGAAGACCTCGTCTGCCGGATCGCTAAGAAGGTACTGGATCAGTCGGATGGACATTCGAAGGGACTCGCAGCCCAAATTGTTGGGTGTGGTGGGAGAACCTTCGGTAGGCTGTTGACAGGGTGAGGCTGTAGTTGCCGTCGTGGTAGCCTTCCGTGCCATCAGTACGCGACAAATGGTGATTTTTGCAACCTGACGTAAAGCGCTCTGACGGACGTGCCAGTAGGGTGAAATCATCCCCATAGCAACCTGAGGAGACAAAGAAAAACTTTAATTTCTGGACTAATTTTTTTCCCCTGAAAAGGTGTGCGAATATCTAAAGGTCAAGAATGAAGTCGGTTAAATAAGCTAAAAAGGTAGGTGTTACGTCTTCACTCCTAAAACAATAAAATTGCCCCAATTATGACCCTTAAGCGCTAAACTCTCACTCGCCTCCTCTGAAAAGACCGATTTCCACACAGCCAAACTGCTTCTCAATCCAGGAATAATTTGGTTCTGCAAAAGAAGAAGGTTTGCGTTCTCCATGCCACTGACCGACGCCCAGGTGGGAGTGACCTCATGGAGTGGTGGAGCTGTGGGCAGAGGGGCGGTAGAGGGGGGCACCCGACGCATCCCGCCCTCAGGAAGATTCGTGGGGGTCAACGCGTTGGTCCAGACACGTCCGCATACCGGACAGTAAAGTGAGCCCGTTTCACTTTCACATTCCTCCTGCCCTACAAATAGCATGAAAGCTGTTCAAATTTATGGTAGGGCTTATGCATCAATCGCACCATATTACTCGAAGCTTTGAGGAGGCTTACCAAAGTTGTCTTCCAATTGTTTCAAGCACGTGAGGCATCGTTTACTAGGTAAACATTATTTAAGGTATTCAAAGAATCTCCGAGTAAATCAACAACCATTTAGGCAAGAGGAACAAATTCATTGGGAAAAATCTGATTGCAAGTAGTCACGCAAAACCAGGTTATAAGTTTGAGTAACAAGTATAATTAAAAATGGAAGAAATTAACGAAAATTAACTACTACACAGCTGCTACCTGAAGTCACAATAAGACCACTGGTGAACCAATGGGAAGCGAACACGTCATATACGTGTAATCTCCAGTACGGCTGAATGAATGAGGCATGCCTCATGCATGCATGGACGAGCGCGCACGGCAAGAGCTGAGTAACCCCCACCGCTTAGCTTTCCGCCCCGTCCACCCTCTCCATTCCCCAAACCAACACGAGTAGCGTAGTCACCACACCGGCGAGATGATGAATCATGCGCAGTTAAGCGATGTCTTTCGCATGATGTGTATCACATCCGTACTTTCGCATCACAGTGAAGAGCGTATTTAATTTGAACAAATAAGCCCATCAAGGAAGATTTCGATGGCAAGGTCTTGCAAGTCAATTATCCATACTGCCACCCCAATTGACACACATAACCAAACGAAAAGTGCTCTACTTATATGTTATTAGTAGATGATTCTGGAATCAAAGGTTCTGGTGAAAAAAGAAATCGAACTCAAAAATAGGTACCAAGTTAACTCAACAAACTCGACAAATTCAAATATCCGAATCTTCGTCACTTCAACTCCTGAATTCTGATTTCGATTGATGGAACTACATTAAAGCTAACCTAAAATCCACTCTTGACTATCCATAAAAGCAAGCGAAGAGTAGCTTAAGAAGTTTCTATTGCTGCAAAAGAACACACCCTCTCAAAGTCCTGCACTATGATGCCATGAGAATTCAATTATACCATATGCTAAAATCGTAATTTCTTCATTCACACCGTATAACTAGGGAAACTAATGCGCCTATAAGTGTTTTCTTTTGCTGACCGATGTGCTAAGGTACAAGGCTAAAAACACAGTAACAGCTCAACTTGGCTAAATTTGTAAATCAAAATAGTGCTCTCAAAAGGAACATATACTGCGTTGTCGCTAAAAGGAGAAAAACGTTGACAAATCGGTGTTACGGAGCGGGAATGGGACATGCGCAGACAGGCGGGAAGAAAATATTTTTTGGCAATTTAAGCAGAGACATTATGAAGGGAAAGCAAGATACAGTATAAGCAACATACTAAAGGGTTTTCCACAACGATTGGATATAATTCAGTTTGGAAGATGAGGATTATTTACTAATTAATTAAAATGACAATGACGTGTTTTCAATTTTGTCCCAACTTCTAAACACCCTATTTGTCGGAAATGTCTAAATTTTAAAGCTTATTATCACTGTGTACCTGTTATATTGTAAATTGGAAGCTTCTCATCTTGATGAAAGCAATGAGGCAATGCCTAGTTCTTTGATTATGATTGGGGCCACTTAGGTGCTCTGGCGTAGCAAATTCGACAATTAAGCCAACTCTCAGTCGACCTTAGCCATAGCATTATTTCTTATTTTGCCTTTAGACAAGTCTTCATACTCTGTACAATACTTTGGGGAAATAAATTCACATCCAACATACCTTGTTGAAGATCACGGCTCCATGTTCACTCAATGCCAGTATCAGCACCCCATGTGATTTAAATCGACTAACCATAGGCGATGTGCTCCAGTTAATATTATAAATTGCTCTCACAATCACGAGTGCGTTAATCCACCTTTTCTTATCAGATAATTACGCTGGACTGTTTGTGCTATTGTCCCGAGCAAACCCACGACACACGGCAAATGTTTGCAGGGGTGGGTGTCGCGTTGTGCTTTTATAAAACTAACATCGTCACCATCAACACCGTCACCACCACCACTACCACCCCAATCACTATCTCCATCCTGGCTGTAGCTAATTGAAGAGCTTCATGAGTCACACACCTACCACCAACACTAGCACCACCACCATCACAATCATCGCCAACACCACCGGGCTCATGGCTGACGGCGAAGGCAGCTGTTTATCGCATGTCGAGGTTGCTTTGATGGACGTTTCCTTCTCTCATTTCCTTCCCCTCACGCTCTCTTACTCCTCTCCTCCCTCCACCCCGCCTCCCACTCCCCCAAACACGGATAGCCTGACGAAGTTTTGGAGAAGAGGGGCATTAAAAACTTATTCTCTTCGTCAAGCCTCAGCTCCACCTCCATACCACCCTCCAGGGGCATAATTAGTTGCAACCCACTTTTCCCGCCTGTATTCAGTCCTTTGAATAATGAGATAAAGAAAATATACTTAGTAAATGGAATCAGACAGCTTAATCACACTGTAACGACTTTTAATGATGTGCTTTCAACGATTAAGGTTCTGAATGCCCTAACTGATGCAACTGCATTGTTCCACTTAATTTCGCAAATATCAACGCTTCCTTATCCAATTTATACGACCATAGCGAAACTAGAAATTACTTAAGCCGTAACTCGGGTCCTGTGTTGGCTCATTTGCCTAGTAACTCACAGATGCAGAAGCACTCCTGATGAAAAGTCGCACCACAGTCAACAGAAGAGCAGACAGTAGCTAGAGGCTCCGGAGGTCGAAGTTCGCGCATGCACAGGCGACATACAGTAGCCATTTCGACAGCGACGGTGTCTGGACTAGCAGAGCGACGTAATTGACCGGTGAGAGTGTCGTCCACAGAGGCGCCACTTCGGGTGACGGCAACCATCACCATGCCCTGAGAGGGAGTCTCCAAGAATCGACTGCTTCGACTCGAGGAGGAGACGCCTTCAGTTTCGGGATCGGTCTCGGGATTGGAATTTGGTTCACCAATCGGTCGGAAGGTGGTGGAAAGCGCATGTCTAACAGGAGTAAGAAAAAGGACCTGATCATAATTGTCTATTAGTCAAGCATTTGTTTTTTCAGAAACCGTTCTGCATGTAGGTTGCACTTAAAACTATATATTAGTCGAAGAATTGTGAAGTCTAGAATGAAAGTAAATTTTTTAGCCCTTCAGACGGACAAATGGCTATCAGCAATGGACATGTTAACGGTGTCACGGTGACTGGACGCGAAAAAGCCCCTTGGGTAGACATCGTCAGTGTGTGTACGACGCGACCATGTCCGTTACGGTTGAGAGAGCAGTGCTCTCACGCAGCCCTCTTAATTAAGCAGCGGCCGGCGACGCAGCAGCAACAGAGGAGGGCCTAGCGACGAGGCCGATGATAGCAGCAAAGGCGACACGTTCAGACAGGAAAGACGCGGTCCGACCAACACGCTCCTCCTCACTCACCCACCCACACACCCATCCCCCTTCCGCACCAAGTCCAACCCCACTGCTCTTCCTCTCACATAAAACTCCGCAGTCATTCAGTCACCGTCAGCAAGTTGGCGTTTTTTGTATGCTGCAAGTGCGCCTCCGAAAAAGGGGGATAAGTCGCCTGCAAATGAAATGTGATTTCAAGTTACTCAGCAACTTTATCAGGTGAGTAACCAGAAGGGACCAGTTTGGACATTTGCTCCACCACTGAAAGTGGCAAGCAAGGCCTAGGAATTATTAATTAGCACCCAAAAACTGTTTGAAATGAGGGAGTGCAAATTGTATGCCTTCAATGTGGGCAATCGTCCATTGAGAACATTTGAATCAAATCGATGATACATGAAAAAAAGTACAGTCGCCGATCCGGAGGGTAAAATTTGCTCAAAAAATAAAAAAATACATCTTGTTTGACTTTTACTTTCCACAGCTTCAAACTCTCCCTCCAACAAAGCGTGAAACCCATCGACATAGGGTAAGAGGCGGAGCTGTATCTAACAGTCGTGATGAGTCATTAATCAGAAAAACAAACAACTCCCCACATTTTATGACACTCTAGCCCGTTTCGATTCGATACTTTACAAAATGCAGGAACAATAAAAAGCCTATTCACTCTCTCATAGTCACCAGGCCAACAACAAGACTGCTCACCATAAAACGTCTATATCCAGACAGACAAATAGCGTCTGACCTCTCCGACTTGGGGGAAACCGGATGACTAACCGAGGTCTGACAGAAGAGACGATCTCTACAAATGGACTGGGATGAAGTCATGTGGGTGTATACTACTGCATAAAAAAATCTCCATATTTGGACATCTAGCCGCTGAGCACCTTTTACGACGTTCAAATAGACAAATGTGGTAATAAAAGGGTGAACGCCCTTCCTTTTTTACGACTTCAAGAGACTAGAAACCAGTGTGTGTGCTACTGAAAAGAATTGCTTTATTACGTGAGCAAGGTTATGGTCCTCTTTCCCCTTTTTCAGAGGTTACTGTTGAGAATCATAATTTCCCTTCCTTATGTGATATGCTTTTTTGCCACGGGATGGAACCTTGTAGTGCAGACAAATGGGACTGCCTCTGTTTGGTAACAAAGACACGGCAAGTTTATAGGTAATGTTCCTCTCCCTCTCTGTGAAAGTGACATTTCGACCTGACATTTAAGGAGAGTTGGATGGAGACCTCCTTTTGTAATGCATTGGTTGCATTCGGACTTGCATCCAAGGCTGGAGAATTGGTCAAAAAGTCACCAATTCGATGGAATAACTCAATCCCGAAGGACAATGTAGTTTTCATGATTTGCAACGAAACAACAACTTTGAGTTTGTGAAGGGATCAAGAAGTACTTAAATTATCTCTAAAATATGCCAAACTTAATGAGAGTTGCATGACTGTAATAAAATGGATATTTGACTTTAGGATGAGTGATTCAAGTTCTTCGGCGACTCCAAAGTACACGTTTAGTTCAAATCGTGTGCCTTCGTTTGTTTTCGAGGAAATTTCAGGACAATGCACTGGTGACAGCGAAAAGTGGACTTTAGAGAAGCTTCTTTTATTACTACTGATTGATGACATGTCTCAGCAAGGCGAAGGATACAGACGAACTGTCTATGGAAAAATTGGTAATCAGTCATAATGGAAGAGGTGCCTGGTTTCGAATAACCGCCTCAGTCCTGTGGTCCGGTGAAAATATTTTACGGCTAAAAACAACAACAGTAAACTGTCTGGAAAAGGTCTGTTATGGAGCAATCATGTGAGCACGGGATACCTTCTTGCTCAATTGCTAGTTGCAAGAAACTTTAAGTGTAATCTTATTTTCACGAAATTACACCTAAATCCGCATTCCATTATACGACTCGTCCATTTGGTCAATGGCTAGCACAACCCGCCATTTCCAAATCCATTTTCCATACAGGGCTCAGTCAAAGTGCTTCTGCACAGCTGCTTAGAGATTTGACGGCTTGCATTGTTAGTCTGTAGTTATTACTCTCACAGTAATAATGAAATTGTGGTAGATAACAAAGGAATTTTTGTCAAACGAGATGCCGAGGATAAAGTTCAAAAGATAGTGGAGATTCTGTACTACTTTAATTGCTTGTTTGTTGATGCAGTCACTTGGATGCTCTACCATCGACCGAACCGGTGAGCGCAATTATAATTGCATTCGAAGCTGTGCTTTCTGTCAAAGTAATGAAGTGTTTACAGTTCTTTAAGTCTACATTCCTAGCTAGAGGCGAAAGGACAGCCCGAATCTTGTACAAAAAAGCTGACTAGAATCAGACAGTATCGCTCCTTCTAACCCATTGGCGCCCTCTGTCACCTTTACTCCAAATGAAGTGCCTCAAAATAATCAAACTCCTCATACTCAAAAGAGGCGATTAAGGTCTGAATAATATCTAGGAAAAGCAGTCACCACTGACAAATCCCAAAGTTCTCATTTCATTGAACAATTCAAAACTTTATTTTGAACTCTTTTGCCTTTAGAACTTAAAACCATAAACGTCATGGAGTTAGGAAAACTGAGAAAATGATGTTGCCCACAAAAAGTATTTGTGATTTATCATTCAGTAGTCAACCAAAACCCTTTAAAAAGAGACACTCAAACATTCTTGATGACAGCAACGGAGAAAGTTTGCCCTACCTAGCAGTAGCGGAATTGAGGATGCTTATTCTTGAATTGAGAGTATCATAGTAGGCTTGGGGCTCTGTTTTAGGTCTGCGTTCGAAACCTTCCCCGTCCTCTGTCTCCACGCTTCCACCACTAATGTTAATGTCACCTCCTCCACCACCACCGCCCCCACCACCGCCACTCCCGGCGCCACTGTCACCACTTCTACAACCAACGCCTGCACCACCAGTAGATGAGGCGTGAGAAAGGCAGCGTCGGCACACAGAGACGATTTCACAACCACGCGAGGATGGTTCAATGCTCCGTGTTATGTTAGAGAGCTCAGAGCACTCTGACGACCCTACAGAAGCATGCATAGCAGCCAAGAGACAGGAATTTGGAACTGCAGCATTCAGAACAACAGGACGGGGCATCACAATGCGAGCGGTAGGTTGATTATTCTGTCCCAGATTGGTAGCAGCGGTAGTGGTGGAAGCGATGGAAGTGGAAGTGATAACTTCTGTGGCATGATGAGCTCCTGGTAGGCGGAAGTTGGAGGCTCGTAGACGAGCATAGCGCTGAAGTAGAGGCTCCACCTATAGGAAGAGATTGCAATTGATGCATTTGCTGTTTAATTCTTTGCATTCTAATAAGGGGATGTTTAGACGCAACAAATGATTATAAAAAGACAAAAAAAATTATAGAAAGGCCTGAAATTCGTGTTCCGATGAAGACTAAACAGCACCTATCTGGGGGGACAACTCATTTTAAAAGCTCGCACCAGAGCTGCCAATCCACCTGCCATAAATGATGCATAATGTGACTTCACCCTCTCACTCTTCGCGTGCGGTCAGATTTACGTTGACAGATGGTCGTTGGGATGGCTTCTCAAATTGGGAAAATTTTCACTGTCACGCACGCAACTCGAAGAATAAAATGGTGCGTCCAATACTGAAGGCTGGAAAATGACCCCCCTCACCCTCTTCCCTGGGAGACATGCAGACGTACACAGGCATCACATCCAGACACAACATATGCACTTCATGGCTTGAAATGATTCACATGAAACCCGCGAGTCATGATTTAAAAATCGGTTTATTGGAGGAGACGGGGATCAGTATAGGGAGAATAACTTTAAGAAATACAAGAGACAACTACAGTGAGAGGTTTGACTGTGCGTGCACGAGGTTAAAATCCAGACCAGTTATACTGCACATTGTGTGACATTTCGAGGCCTGTGTATACACTCACACGCACCACACATCAACGCAGGCATGAGTCATGAATGACTTCCACCTATGCCTTTCTTCACTCCCCCTTGTCCCTTCCGGCTATCTCCTTCCCTCAGCCACTCATCTGCCCTTACAAATGGGATCGCGCACACAACTTCTTTAAAAGATTACGCAAACACTCACAAACAAAAATCTCATTCCTGTGAAAGGCTCGTATCATCAGCGAAAGAGGAGTGAACTGCCCAGTTCAGTAAGTTGAAGAATGAACCGCAAAATACCTCACAGTTCTCTAACCGCGGCCTTGAGATTCGAGGGTCTTCCAATCGCAGGCGGAGGATGCGGAGAAGGACAAAGAGAGTGTGTGCACAAGGTGAACGGGTGGACGCTGGACAGACGAGGGGCTGGTCAGAGCAACTGCAACCGGATGAGTGTCCTCCCAAGGTTACCCGAAAGCGTTGACGTTTGGGAGCAGTTGTGGGGCATCCCGCTGCAGCAGACCCAGCCATTTCCCATTGGCAAACATTAACGGGACTCGGATCAAGTATGATGAAAGCATTGGGAGCGGGCTGGTGTAGAAGAAGAAAATTTGTTTGCAATGCTCTTGCTACTTGTTCCTGAAGGCTGGCTGACCGATTGAGAGGGGCAGTGGTAGAAGAGACGGATGGTGTTCCTGGTGAAGCTACGTCGTGGCAGCCAATCATTGATCTGGATAAAGATGGAGGAATAGTCAAAGACATTAATAGGACCCGATTGACGCTCAGCTGTGAATCGACTGCTTCCTGGACGACTGTCCAATTTCTAGATTCCCGTCAACGATGGTGCAAAGGCACTATTGCAAACAGATGTTCATCATGTGATAGAGGATACAATAAAAACAAACCTAGGTTGATGTGTATACATACGTGTCATAAAGGTGATAGGATTTAAAAAGGAAAAAAATGAGTGGCAACAATAGTGTTGTTGAGTCGAGGTAACATTAGCATAGAAACTCTTACAAGCTCGTGGTTAATGAGAATCAAATGCACAGCTAGGACAAAACTCACTTTACTTTAACATTGCTGATTACCCACTGGAGGTCTGTAAGGGAAGAGAGGGATATGTAAAACCCATCGAACATAAAAATTAGTCACCAGGTTAGAAGGTAAACCTACCATAAAGGATTCAAAGCACTATGAATCAATGTCGCTTAGGGCAGAAGTTTGGCCGTAAGCTAAAAACAAAAAAACAGACGATTGCAGTAGGCCTATCCTAGAACACCAAAACAAAGTAAACTACATAAATTCATAAAAGAAGGTTTCTAAATATGACAAGAGGACAAAAAATATCCTTCCGAAAAAGCACCTAGCTAAATTCAACACAAGTCACAAAGTGTGGACCCTACAAGGACAAAAACACGTGCGATCAAGTCTTCATATATCGATTAACCTAAATGCCAGTAAGCTTTACATTTGAAGGCTTAAAACAGAATCAATGAATTCAACAAGTTAGACGCTACAACAAAATATTTAAAATTCCGACGAATTTTTATTAATCTCCAAGTCTTGCTTCAGCAATTAATTGCGTGAAGGACGTTTTCGAATGCTACGAACGACTAACTTCAATGCACTTGGAAACACTTAAAAAAAATGCACCACAGTGCTATATTCAAACATAGAAAATATGCACAAGCCTAAAGATGCTATTACCAATCACAATTGCATTCAAGATAATAGCAGAATGAAACATAAAAAATAAATTTTCAAGGTTCATTATAGTTTGCTCAGCAAGGACGGAGCTTACAGGTAAAAAATGGCAAGAACTAGCAGCAGACGACCACAAAGTCAGCATTAATAAGTGCGCAGCCTGACCCTCTAGGCCATAAGCACACATCTGTAGTTCGACCTAACAAAATGTGAAAGCATGATACAATTTACATATTTAAGGGTAACCTTTTATTAAATAAATATTAAAATGTATTTGCAAATTTTGCTATGCGTTTTATATTTATTTTTTCAAAGCCTGAATATTTTGCTACACATGATAAATGTAATCTCGCCCATTATTTTGCTTTCATTTAATCTTTAAGAGATTGCAAGCATTTTATTAGTTTTTTTTAATTTACACTGACATTTGTAACGTGCATTGGGGAAAACATTATGACTTGGCTGAATGCAAGCATATAGTTATTTGGAAGTGTGGGCCTTCTCAACCAATTTACAAGAAACTTAAACCTCTGGTTTCATAATAGTGTTAGTTCAGATAGTTTGTCATGCATCCTAAGTAGAATGGAAAGGAGAGCGAGTGTCGATGGGTGATGATTCAACCTTACTCTGCAGACTGGTCCTTGCGTTTCTCATACATGGGGTTCGTTTCGAATCCATTTACCGGCTTTGTAGCGTCCCGAGACTTCTCATAGGATATAAGAAATCAAATGTTAGGTTAAATATATGTATTCTCAAGATGAAAGGGCAAATGGCGCCTCAGCGTGTCCCGAAGGCCAACCCACGTTTGCAGGAGTCAGACAAATTCTAAAGTTACCGCCAGCCGTCAGGTAGTCACATAAACAAAGCACTACGCTACCTCTCTTTTATGAGGAGCAACGTCCTCGGCGCTCCTCTTCGTACATCTCCTGCGCCGGCCATCGCAGAATATTCGGTACTATATAAAAACAACCACGAGCCTACCGCATACACCTATGACCGTCAACTGCTTCCGGGAATAGACGGTGAAGCTCTGGTCTAAAACATATATGTTACAGTGAAAACGGCATGAGCCACGCTCCCGTATGTAAGGAAAACCGTGGTGTCAGCTCCGACACCCAACCACGGATTTGTTATGGGAACTTCTGACATGAAACTTTATCAGATAGTTCACGACGGTGTCGCTTCAGTTGTTAATAGCTTGTTTGTGGAACACAGGAATAAGGTGAAACCAAATGCAGACGTCAGTCTAAATCCTTTCTTTGTGAAGGATTGAGAGAATCTCCGTCACCAAGGTAAATGCACCTCCTTCAATTCACTTCCCATTTTTCGCCTGTATCTTCATCTATCGCACTTTGATAGAGTCAGACTTCCTTCTATGTGTCATCATCCGGTCGAACCGTTGCCTGTCGGCTTGTTCGTACTGTTCTTCTTCGAACATCAGCCGATTAATTGGCAGAGTTTAGCAACACAAACGTGGGATGTCAGTAAGACAGCGGTGTCTGTTGGACAATAGTTTTTCCCGGATACCAGGTCGCCTAAAAAAATCAACGGTAGAACGAGGCGCAGAGAGAGACCCACGCCGGCTGCAGCAGAAAGTCTTGAAAAGCTCTTTATACCAAAGAGTCGTTAAAAAATGTCGGGTTCGCTTTCCGCTGCCACCAGTGTAGCGTCTCGAGACTTCCCATAGGGTGAAGGAAGGCATAAGTGAGGTTGAATACATGTATTTTGAAGACAACAGGAGAAATGGGGCCTGAGCATGGCCCGAAGGCCAGCCTACGTGTACAGAGGCCGGACGAATTCTAAAGTGACTGCCAAACGTCAAGCAGTCACATAAATAAAGCATTACAGGCTCTATCCTATAAAGGCAAATAAAACACATTAGTGTATATATTACAGTTAGAACGTGAATTATAGCATGGCCTAGAGTCCAGCCCATTTAAAAAAAACTCGATGATCAGCAAAGTGTCCACCACTCACGTATAGTACTTTGTTTATGCGGCCACCTGACGTCCGGTGATTACCTTAATATTCGTACGGCCTTAGTTCGCGTGGGCTGGTCATCAGTTAAAGCTCACGCTCATCCCTTTTCTCTCCTTAGTTTGCCTCTACTCAGACCAAATTAATTCCTTATTCTACCTGGTGGGAAGTCTTGTAACGCTACATATTGTTTTGTGACTCCTCATTTGGATAAATGCAAGCTTTGCCTGGCCCGAGGAACAGCCCTCCCGACACTAGTAAGATTTCTTGCATTACAGGCGAAATTGTAAAAATTCTGTTGATAGTGAAATTAATGGCGCAACATTGCTCGGTAAGATGACCCAATCCAAATGCGCTCATAAGCGTGTACGCGTTGGTGTACCCACACACAGTCCTTCACAGCTTAAGTCAGCGAACTCCAGCTCATGCTTTAACGGAGCGAGGCGAATATAAGTAGACAAATAGCCGTCTCTATAATTCAGTTCCTCTTTTGTGAGGCATTACCATAAGATCACAGCGACAGTACTCAAGACTACATACTTCAGTAACAGTGAATTTCCTGTACGGACAGTGGCCTCTATAACTCCAAGCTCATATTCACAATGTCGCAGCAATGTGAGGACTTTGAACCATACCAACGAGCCAAAAGCTTCACCTCCAAAAAACCGTAGACGAGAGAGCAGCCAAACACTGAAACTTCGATAAAAAGACGCATAATTGAGGCGAACCGAGATAATCGTAGTAAAACTTTTGTTTTATTGTACACCACCATTCCAAAAATAAATATGAACTGACTAGGCACTTCGGTGGTCAATCGTAAAATTACAGACAAGGAAGGCATATTTATGTACACACAGGAAGACGACTAGTTTCGTGCACAAGGAGTAGATCAACGAGACCGCCGTTCAGAGGCTTTGACTCCGCGAATGCTGAGATCTGACCGGCAATGACAACAAATCCGTCTGCTCACCTTTCGATTGTGTGATTCGAAATTCGGGTTCCACAGAGCAAGAATGAAGAGCCTAGTGGAAAACAACAATGATTATATAATGAAATGCGCGTGGAGAGCAAATAAAAGTGCAAATTCCAAACACAAACCGAAACCACGTCAAGAGGCAAAGGACTCGCTGCCGATTTGCGAAGGGTAGCAACGTAAGATTCCAAGAATGCTGGTCTCCTCGTTACCTCAGAATCTGCTTCTGTATCAGTGTCGGCTTGACCGGGGGGCGTGTGGCGTGGCGAGCTAGGAAGGGAGACAGAAGCGCTGATTCCCTCCCTTCTTCCCACATCCGACAGTGTCGGTGTCGCGACTGCTCTTGCTCCCTCACTGGACGAGTTGGAAACTTCAGCACCGACACCACGGGTTCGTGGGGAGGTGAGAGGTGAATTGAGCCAATGACCAAGACGACGAGATTCATGAATTCGGTTCGAAATCGCCTCCAAACTACTCATGGTCTTAGCATAGAGCAACTTTGCCGACTTCACCTCCACAGTTAGCCGATCGATCACCTGTTTTGCGTCCTTCAAACAAAACCAGGGAAATTAATGCGATGAAAATTTGCATTTAATGCATGGATGCCATTTACATAGAGCTTGTGGCTGGACCATGCATGGTATAATACTGCATGCTAATCAACACCAGTTCAGTAGTGTGGAGACAACCGGTCAGAATGGAGATCCCTCCCCATAGCACTTAACCAACATAAAAACCCGATTTTCGACATGACGTGAAGTAATCTACAACAAAGAACCAAGGGCCGTGTGCGAGGATTGGTAAAGTAGGAAATCGTGGCCGAGGCAACGCAACCGATATGTCATTCAATCCGCCAGCCATTTGACAATAAATTCGCCTTCGTAGCAGCCATTAACGCACAACGAAAAAACAAAGCTTTGGAAAAAGACACCGTCTACAAACCCATGGATTTATAAAGTTTATAGATTACGTTCACACCACTGTAGTTCAGTCGTTCGCTTACACAATAGATGTGCAACAGAATGCCGTCATCATAACTTAAATCAGCCATTCAGATGCAAAATGTTCAGCCAAAATTGTAATAAAAAACAAGGAAAAAAATGCATCAAGCGATGGACCAGGATATTAGAATGTTACACGTATGTAGGTCCAATCCCATGAAGGGCAAAGGACACATCGAAAGGCTATAATGAGGTGACCAATGCATTCCGCCAGGTGGCTGCGTCCTTATGGCCCTAACTGGAGGTTTCGGCCTCTGATCCACCAAGGCATAGATCTCGCTAGAGAGATGAACTATGCCAGTAATTTGAACATTTACATAGCGCAATAACAAGCTATCTCTCATGGAAGTGCGGTGTTGACCTCGATGGCCTCAACTAGTCTCGTAGACCTCGCTAATGCTCTAACAATCGACAGGAACATCGTGACGAAAAAAACCTTCTACAAGTACTGCCGAAACCTTGAAAAACTCAATTGCTTTAACTTAACCATTTTCAAGATGTCGACGGATGTATAAAGCAAAAAGATGAATGAAGATAAATCAAACAAAAGTAAGCAATTCCTTCGATTGACTTTTGTTTTAAGAATAAGCACGTCTTTTAGCGTTATAATTCAACAAAAAGTTGTAAAATTCCAGAACTGCATTGCCGTACTAAGCAGGTCATTTGTTTAACCTTCGGATTTGGTAGAGGCACACTTAAAGGCTCTGACAATGTGTCGTCCGTAAAGGACTTTGCGCTTGGACTGTGCCAGTACGCACGTACGTCAACTGCATTTGTTCACTGCAAGTGTCTCGTACCTTTGTCGGTGAAGATGTCCTATGGCGGAAAGAGAAAAGCAATCCTGATGCTAAAGGATAACTGCTCTAACTTATACTGATAAGTAATCAATCTTAGCGCGGCAGACGAGGCACATGTTCCTGATGGAAAATTCTGCAACTACCTCTAACAGGAGGGCTGAGAGGGACGTCGATCTTTAGTGACCACCAAATTCAGTGGTCTATAGGAAGGCCGCAAACCATTGAACACTAGCTATGAACCATCCGAGAAGCTTGCTGTACAGCCATCCACCTAACATGAATGCAAACACAAATTATGTGAACTAGCAATACCTCCATCAGGGAGGTAGAAAGGGAATTATCTCCACGGAAATACATAAAATCTCATGCTTTGTTTAAATGCTGTCGCCCTAGCCAATGTTTCGACAACACTATGCTAGTTGATGTGAGAGGTAAACCAGGGTATTCAAAGGTAGGGTAACAGTTACGTAAGACAGTAACTCCACTTTCAACTTTCTGTCTGGGTAATGGGGCCGCTGGGATGCTCCTCCAATGCACCTTGCAGTGTTCTAGCCTCTGTGTCATACTAGCAGCTCTAAGTCGACTATAACATTATCTTAATTGGGGTATTATGCCTTGGTCTCCAGAGAAGTCATGCGACAATACTCCATGCGTAAAATAGCAATTATGAAACGCATGGTAATTAAAAACCGACAATCGAAAAATTCCGATTAAAATTCTTTACATAGTATTACAAATTCATTCAACTATGGCAGTGGAATGAAACAATATGTGACGCCAGACACATTCAAAGGAAACAAAGTCAGCAATTTCGTCAACAGTAGCACATTACAGAATAAGCAGACTACTTATAACTTCATGAGTTCAGACAGATCAAACGAGCGTTCAATCGTAACTAACGAACACAAGGTCATAGATTCAGTGTTTCTCACAAATTGTTTCACAACATCACAGAACGATTATAAATGAGAGAAATTGCTCAAATAGAGCAGATGCTATAAAATCGCGTCTCCTAGAGGCTTCACATCTAAATGGCTCCGATGGTATGAAGGAATAAAGTTAATCGAAATAGTAAAACCAAATCCTTCACAGATGTACACAAAAAAAAGTTTTGATGGTCCCAAAAGGTTTGGAAAAGAGGCGCCTAATGCCTCATTGGTTGAGGTTAATGTGACAGCATAGGAATAATTCACTTGGCGATCCTGTGATGAAATGACCAATAAGGTGAGAAAGACCAACAGTTACAGCACAATTCACACGATGGGAACAAAATCAGCTATTTTTGCGATCCCAGTCTCTAAATTCCCTACAAATTGGCAAACGAGAGAAGCAAATTTATCGCCTTAGTGTTCCTACTATAACATGGGAACTTGAAACTGATAGTTGTTAATCCAGGGTCCCATAGCCATACGTCAGCATCGAGGAGAGATTCACATGCTCCAGTGGAAAGGAAATCCGTAAACACGAATATCCTAATAGGTGGACGAACGTCCGAAGCAAAAACGGCAGTGCGTGCGATGATATCGCATCACACGTGATCGCACACAATGGAGCGTATTAGTTCAGGTGAGGTCGCAGCCCAATGGAAAGGTGACCTGGGGCTGCGCGGTCAAATTTCAACCTGAACTGACAGCTCATAGAAATACACTGTCACCCGTTTGAGCCTGGGGCGTAGAATACATCTCCGTCTCCTCGTCACTTGATGCTACTGGCTAGCTAGTAGCGAGCTGTTTCAAGGACGAAGGATACCCTGAGACCTACGCATCAACCTTCAGGGAATTTGTTGCCAGAATCACGTTTTAAAACTCTCTATCTCACCCTTTATCAAAGAGCATAAAGTTTATGAGTAAACGGTTTTGTATATATTGAAAAAATTAAACTCGTTTCGCCGCGTTAACAAGCCCAACTCTCATCAAGACTAACCGAGGCTTCATGAGGACTTCAACTTACAAGTGGTATAGGGTACGGTAGACTGTATCAACTAACTAATTCATACAGGCAACTGATAGTACGCAAAAGTTACAAATAAAAAATGCAGCACCCTGTACCAAAAGTTACACGTTTTTTACCGGGTCTCATCTTTCAGATATAAAAGAACGATGTAAATAGGGAACAGAATCAAGGCCTGACATTAAATGGTGGATCTCGCGATTATGCAGATAATAAAGTTGCGGTAAAAGTTTAGTAACAACAACGCAAAGAACGTCAACACGATGAGATGGCTGAAAGATAGAGTGCTTTCCACTCAAAAAGCTGAATGAAGCACCACGCTTGAGGCGATAAAATAACGGTGAACTTTCTAAGCATTAAAGAATTCTGCGAAATGCATCCGCACTTACCTCCATCTTTCGATTGTAAGCATCCTGCATGTCGAAGTAGGGCCTGAAATAGAGTCGCAAATAAGCCAACAATATCTAAATCAACTTGTAAACGAATGAATTCACTAATATGTATCCAAGCGCTGAAACGATACCAAAAGACAGCCTCCATTACCGAATAAAATCGCTAAAACCGACAATCCATAGAAAAGCGCGACTTTGCGTGACACTCTCAATTCTAAGTGAGTTATGAGCGCATCGATAAAGTCTCGCGATTAGTTTCAGTCTCAACTAAGTTAGATCACACTGCTGCGACCAACGCAACATTATTGTGGACTACTGACAACTTCTACTACGAGAGAATAGTCCTTCGTATAATGACATAATGTACATCTCTAAGCATCAGGTGCATTTGCGTCACAAGAACAACCTGTTTGCACTAACTTCAGCCAAAAGACCACAAATGGAACTTACCAGATGTTTATAATATGCTTTAACCTGTACAAAGGTCTAAAAATGATTAAATGTTTTTCCGAAAGGTGGCAGATTCGCAGTATTAGGTTTTGGATGCACAAACACTTAAAACTTAGCTTTCGTACTTCAGCTGGTTAGAACGGCCCCAGAACGGTATCAGACCCTTCGCGCCATGCTGTACGCTAGCTACACACCATGCCCCGCACTATGAATTCTTTCACATTTAGGAAGGGATGAAAAAGATGTACTGGGAGTGGAAGCAGGAAGCAAACCCATTTCTAGAGATCAATTATCCTGACTTTCACCCCCCTAATGGTAAATTCTAACGCGATGGAAGAAACTTTGGAAAATCCTTAGGGGAGGAAAAGTCAAATAAAAATGAAGAAGCTACTTATCAGCGGTCAAAAAAAAGTTGGTGACGAAGCCGTCAGCTCTATTCCGGATAGATAAAACCCGGATAGACAGAGCTGGACAATGCCGAAGTAGAAATGAAAAGGAAGATGTGAATCTTAATCAGCACAAGATTATCACATGATTGATCTAGCGTTTATAGGACTAGTGATTGATATGGGTGGTAGCCTACTAATGAAACTCGCAAACAGGATGTCCAGAGGGATTAGTGACATTTCAATCAGGTATCCTGATTGCAAGTAAATTCTTTCAGCGTTTTCGGCACAATACTGATTTTGATGTATTAACCGACCTAAGATTTTGACTAAAAGAAGTGCCAAATGGGACAGCCGGAAGGAGTTGTCATACTTTGCTCGCTTATAAGAGTGGTTTGGCCACGTGAACCTATAATTATGGCTTTTAGTTTCGCTGAGAAGCACAACTTTTAGAGCGTGATGGTAGTCCCCTTAACATTACAGCACACCCTAGTCATCTAACCACATTCGCCATCAGAAAAGACCTCATGCCCTGGATCACAATTAGTATTTAAGGGCGCAACAAAACTTTTGTCAATAAGAGGTAACAGTGGGGCAAGGTGACAGCCTTTCATCAAGTGATTACTAAAACTGGGTGGTTACAAAACCAAATAATTAGAAAGAAATCGATCAATTGCAACTTACAAACGACCATAACAATAAGAAGAGAAAAGATGAGCACTTACTGTGACCTACGAATAGCCGTGCCCATACGACTGCGATGAAGGCGAAGATCTTCCTCGATAATGGAGCACTGAGCAAGAACTTCCTTGTGTTTCTTTTTGAGCTCATTCAATTCCATTTTGGTTTTGTTAACCTAAAGAAAACATTAGAAATTAAGGAAACTCAAAAGATCTTAGGCAAGATCAAGCAAAACCTCGAACAATAGCATACCTTTTGTACAGCGGCGTTAACCGCTTCTAGCTTTGATTCCTCCCCTTCCACAAACTTAGCAACATCAATATTGTAGGACTTCAAAATAGACACCGCCTCATCGTGCTCTGTCCGGAGAGTACTGAAGGCTTCAGAATTCAGTTGCAAATCCACAAGCAATTTCTTCTTCTTTGCTTGATTCTCATAGAAAGGCCGCGATTTTTCAATACTCGATTTAAACTTCTTAGCGTAGGCTGATAGTACTCGGGAAGCTTCAGACAAGAGGGACTGGTAATCTTGACGGGCCTTCTACACCGATTAGTTAGAAGCGAACACCCACATCAAGATTAACTTCATTGCTATTTATTAGCGAAGATGCATAATTAAGGGTATTCAGTCGAGTCTAGACGCATAGAAAACTATAAGCAACACACTTGAACGTCTTCAGTGATTGCCACGGGCACAATATCGGAGTCAGAGTCCATCATTAACTTTGCTTACAATATTTGGAACCGAAAGAAGTAAAGAGTAATTTTGTGGTCTTAATAAAGTAGAATACAAGCACGCAAGCATAAGCGGACACGCAAGCCATCCAAGACGCGCGCCAAAGAGACAGCAGGAGACTTCTAGGAAATCAAACGACAGCAAAAATGAATATTACTATTTGTGGTGCGTTTCAAACAAAGTAGCACGATATTTATCATAACAAAAAATAAAATGCTTAGGTGCATAACATTTTACAACTTATCATTAAAGTGAGCGATTCAAAGCTTTTCGATATTCCATGCAAACTAAATAGGTTTAAATATTTTGCTGCACCAAAACTTTAAGCTACGATTTTATCTTAATTTTCACTTGCTCACGTTATTGCAGCAGGTTTTGTCTTTCTTACCTTACGGCCACTTCCAACTCAATTTTAAACTCCTTAAACATAAAAGTAGATAAGAATGCCCTATGATATCGAATTTACGGTTCTATAGGTTTTGTTCAAACTTCTGGTGGGTTGTTCGAGCGTTTGAGGGGCGCTGATCAAATGCATGCCACCTACATGGCGTTGTAACACCTCTAGATTTCTTGTTAGATTGTGGAATACATCGGGCATATCTGAGCACTTTCATTTTGATAGGTGAGCAGGGGTAGAGCTATAGTTAGCCTAAAGATCAGCGTAAGGGCTCGTCGTCTATTCAGGCAGTTGCCTAAACGTGGTAAGACAGTAACTCCAACACCATCTGTAATGCTTTGTTTATGTGAGTACCTGACATTTGGCGGTTACTTTAGAGCTTGTCTGACGTCTGTACACGTGGGCTGGTCTTCCGGCCACGCTCAGGCCCCATTTGCCCTGTTGTCTCCAGAATACATGTATTCAACCTCACTTATACCTTCTACTACCCTATGGGAAGTCTCGGGACGCTACATCATCATCGCCCAAATCCCTCTCTGACGTTTCCTCAGGAAAAGTTTGCATACGCTAATTTTATTTGACATTGTGATAGATTGGAATCAGTGGTATGAAGGGAGGGAGGCGACTTTGCCCAATGCGGGGCTTAAGAAGAGTCCGTCCCTCCTCCCGGTATGCTTCCATACGCCCACTCTGACCTACATGGTCGATCGGAACAATAACTTAATGCATTACAAATGCAGGCATGTTCAACAGAATTGTCTATTAGATTGCGTCTTAATTTAGCTAGTGCTAAAACGTAAAGTGAACGGTCATCAAGACTCTCTAAATTAGCATCGCATACCAACCTTTTTATTAAGTGCATCAAATCGAACCGTCTGGCAGGTACGAAATTACTCGTCTGTTCATTTTTTAAAACCATATTATTGTTAAGTATGCTCTGAATAAATTTTTGCTTTGTTTTAGACTTAGGTGCTGCTTGACCCACGCCAAAATTTTATCACCACATTGCAGAACGATGTTAGATCAGCAATGCCAAGAACTAAATGTCGAATGTTTAACTTTGGTCAGTGGCATAAGGTTTGCCATGATTATGCAGTTTTAGCCACATACAAAATGATACCGAGGTTTGGCGTCTTTCAACTTTCCTGCAAACCTAATTGGACATCATAAGCTTGCCAAACATCTATTTTTACTAGCTAGAAGAAAATAGTGTAATGCTATGTCTTTATGACTATCTGCGTCTGGCGGTTACCTTAGCACGTCTCTTGCCCTTGCATCTTTTGCCTTAATACATGTATTCACTCCCGACCCATTGCCTTCTGCTTAGTGGGAAGTCTCGTGAAGCTACTCATAGTATCACTAGCATAAATTAAATGCCATCGAACTTATCGGTCCTTAACTTATTGTGTGTTCTTGTTATCTTGTTACCTAGACCAACGGCTAAATTGACAAAAAACAAAGTAGAGTTATTAATGCCACTGTTGTTAACTCAAGAATGTTTTGAAGGTTTTAATGCGGAAACTAATATCCTAACGCAATACCTTACATGCATTATTTTATTTCACTGAGATTAACTATGTTGCATAAGCAGAGCCTTAATCATTTTAAATCCCATTTTAACGATGCCGAGGCACCGATTTCATTTTCAGTATAGATTGTGCCATGTTCTCTAGCAATCAAAGTCATTATGACTTTCACTCTTCCATAGTTCAAGCGACGCTCCAAGTTTCGTGTTCAATTGCTCCTAACAAGTAGGAAAAATCCGAATTTGCGTTCCATCATCAGCGACTATGGCGACGTTACTTCTCCATGTTGCTTCTGGAAGGCACAAATTTAATAGGGTTTGCTTTCATTCCCTTTAATTAAGCACTTCCACAAAATCAAAGCAAACGTACAAAATTATTTACTCTAACAAAATTTATTTTGTTTGCCTGCTCTTAAATGAATTCAGTCATGCGTTGTCAATTAAAATCGAAACTGATTTCAAAGCCTCTTCCACATGAATGAGCACAAAGCCAACCAAATCAAACAAGATTGTATGGAGAAAATAACGCTTATTCGAAACAAAGTTAGCGGTTAATCTCGCTTCTTTGGGAGTTAAAACAATTAACCAAACTTACCTCTTCTTGTTAAAGACCATCTACTTTGCTCCCTAATAATTTACTCAAGGCATGGACGTTTAAGGACAAACTATTCATGCATAAATTATAATAGCATCAAAATTAACTTTCTTAATCAGAAATATAAAAAAGCAGGCGTAATGTGTTGGTTTTGGAATAAAATCATCTGTTACGCTAAAGCGAATTTATAACCAATCCAAATGTTGCTAAAAGCGTCGCGTCTACTCTAACCAATCAAAAATCAAGTTGGGTGTCCGCGCGTGTACACAATTTTTGCGTGCGTTTGTTTGCACACGCACAGCCATTCGGCTGGTGGTAATTGTCTCCACAAAGCTGAGCCGAAACCTCTGCGCCTGAGTTCACTTCACTGGCCATATCCACTGGGTTGCTTCCACGACGCCTCTCAACGTGACCGTAGTGCTTTTATCTCCCCCATTTCTCCACAACAAAGCGACATTTTCGGTTCAACGAACTGTTTTCAAGTGGTGCGTGTAAGTTTGAGCCTACTCACTCACGCGATTTAGCACAAATCTTCTCACAGCCTATGTAAAGGTAGGGCTATCTCGTTTTATACATATCAACTGTAACCTCATCTATCTGCGGCGCACATTTAACAGGACAAGTTGATTGCTTGACTAAAAATAGCTTTAACCTCCCATAAAATAACAAACAAGGCGAAATAGTTTTATAAAAAATTGTACTTAGTAGTCTACAAGTAAAATTAAGTAAATAAAATACGGACATTTGCTTTAACATGATTTATGAGTTTGAGGATTATCAGGGAAGAGGAAGTGTCGGTTACGAAAAGGCGTAATCATAAACGTGTATGGAGAATAAATAAATATCTCTATTTATCAAACCAAGTGTAAGCTACCAGAGAAACTTGTATTATTCACAATTTTTTTTTAATTTTCTTCGCAGGGATCAATGAGTGCGTACAAAAATGCTGAGACAATTGCAGCTGCCAAAAACTGGAAACGCGGTAAGTAATGCATTAGTGTTGACAAGTAAGTACATTAATAAAGGCAATCGAAATCCATTTAAAGCACTTCACCTGGCGAGGATACAGTGCGATTTTGAATGCTAACCTTTTCTGTTGGCCATCACGAAGTGATTGGTTTTGTAAAGGAGGTGCGCACAAGCCAAAAGTGTCTTGGTCTCACTCTGAACTTTCGGCAACAGTGAAGGATGTCCGGGTAGTCTGACCGCAGGTCTGTCATGGTGCTATAAAGACGGAGTGCTTCTGATCCCATTGCAATACAAATACTCACTTTAAATCACATACTTAAATTAATGTAAACAAAAGCACGCATCGAACTACCGAATTTGCAAACGAAAATCTAGTACATGTCAGAAAGTTAGCAAGGAAGTAAATTGGATAGCAATGTCAGAGGCTAGAAAAAGTGACAAACGATTATAGGCTACTGAAGAAGCCAAGAAAGTCTTCTCTCTCCCTACCTTTCTACTGTTAAGGCCACTCTGGAATTAACCAGCTAGGCGGACTGTTTGTGAATGGTCGTCCGTTGCCTGAGTCAACACGTCAGCGGATCGTTGAGTTGGCACAGGGCGGTGCTCGACCATGCGACATCTCACGCCTCCTACAGGTCTCTAACGGATGCGTATCGAAGATCCTCTGCAGATTCCATGAAACAGGGTCCATACGACCCAAGGCCATCGGAGGCAGCAAACCACGGGTAGCCACTGGTGCGGTGGTTCTCAAAATTGCCGCCTATAAACGCGCCTGCCCGTCCATCTTCGCATGGGAGATTCGTGAACGCCTCCTCCAAGAGGGAGTCTGCTCCCAAGCCAACATACCCAGCGTGTGTTTTCGAGACAATTGTTAAATTTTCACCATTGTAATGATATTTATGCGAAGCTTTTCACATGCCTGCTCTTTACACCTACAATATTTATTTGTCGACGGTTAAGGACGTTCAGTCTAAACCCTTCAATAAGGATTATTCTTTCTGTCTTTTAATCCAAAATGAATGGTGAAAAGACAGTGGTTTTGACAGCTGGATTATTATGCGCTTCAATACGCAAAAAAATTAATCGCTTCAAATAATAAAAAAAAAAGAAACTAACAATAGCATCACTATTAATTGTAACAACCTTAATCGCTTGAAAGAAAAACCATATCACAATTAAATAACTTGTTTTTACCTGAACATATGCTATTTGGTTTAAAAAGGTATCGTCAATTAACCGAGTGCTGCGAAACCTCTCCGCGGAGAGCAAGAATTCTCCACTCGATTACAACCTGCAACACCACGACAATGCGAGCACAACTTCACCAAACTCAACTTCGGCGACACCTCCAACACCTATTGGGGGCAGGAGTCTAGACCATCTTGGATACCTCCAAGAGCATCGACAATCGTATGCAGCGTGGACGGACTCTTGGTCCGTGCCAAGGCTAAGTAATTACTATGGCGGCTACGACAACACTAGTGGGGAATTTGGAGGATGGCAACTGCAGTGGCCTGAGTTAACACCAGCTAGGCGACTTGCAAAGTCTGAATCGCCCTTGGTCCACTGGTCTTCCGATGGTTTCGGAGAGCATAAGTGCGGTAAGTCATTACATTTTCAAGGTCAATTTTATGTCTGTCCAAAAAAAGAGACCTTTTGAAATTTGTCAACATTCTCGTTCCAACACTTCCCGACTGGTATAAGAGATTAATAGGGACACTTTTTACCATAAGATGGATATGGTAACGCCTCAGGACATTTGCCTTACCTCTTATTTCAATGTTTTGATAACACATTCAGGAAATTTTACCTTTCTTTTACGGATTCAGTTCCATGTTTGCAAACTGAACAGCAGATCGGATATTTAGCGGATCCTGTCGAAGCCTATAAGCTTCAGAGTCTCCGCTCATTCAGTCCAACTCCAGTGCGAATGACAGCATTTGCAGGAATGGAAGCTTCGCGGGTTCAGCAATATCGTCGAATTCCATTTCCAAACATAGACCAAACAGTGGTCTCTGAAAGAGGTGTGTCCTTCATGTTTTTCGAATTATGATTCCTCCGAAGGTCAGTTAAATCGCTCCGCTTGGTAGTGAGAGCTTTTAGAATTCAATTTTAAAGCAGACCTTTGTTTTCTTATGTAGCAGAGGTTGAGGAGTTGCAGCACCAGGAAGTCTTCATGCAAGGAGATGGACTAGATGCTAATTTGCGTCCAACTGAAACTCGAATTCACATGTGGCTATCCAATCGGAATACGAAGTCGTCTGTTCCCTACGCCCCACCACCGGAACCAACCGCCTCACGATTCGGTAAGACATCAAAAAAAAAAGAAAGCGTTAATTAGTTTATCGGTGTTCTGTTTTTTTAGACTTCAAAAATGCATTGTTGACTGATAGGTTATTATGCCTAGACGTCAGTAAAGTTGAGAAAAGACATTCCTCATCAAATAAACCAGTTAGACTTCGAGACACTGGTATAAATCAGAGGCCAGTAGAGCACCCAAGGAGCCTCTTTGCTGACTTTAAGAGCTAAAAGGATTTCAGCGTTTAATTTAAGGCCTTCTTTGCTATCATTGCCACCAAGCTAATAGTACCTTCGTTCATGAATACCAACAGTAATCAAATTTCAGCATTTTATGAAGAAATTAGGCAAACTAGTAGTCATGTTTTTAATTAACAGAATTTGAAAGTTCACTACTGGGCGAGCACCAGCATGAGCCACAACCAACAACAACTACGGAAATTCTTCGTCGTTCCTGGACTCATAGTGGAGAATTGTGCTGACCACCTTCACCCTCGCCACCACATCCCACTGTATCAGTCGGACTCGATGATTTCTGTTGTGCATGTGAGACACAACGTCTATTGAAGCAGAATTTCCTCCAACTAGTTTCCATCAAGTGTATGAAATTGTGTAAACCTTTAGTCACTCGCATCTTCAAAATCATTTCTTATCAAATTCATTGGAAGAGAATTAGTATATGTAGTATATTTTGCCTTAGTTGTATCCAAAGGATTTGACTGGTGTAAAAGTGAAGAGGAATATCAAATGCACAGTGAAATTAAATATTTAATGAGCCGCAATTTATGCCTCATCTCTTACGTAACTCATTCTACAATCACTCTCCTATTGTTATCCTAGCTGAAATTACATAACACTGACACAAATCACCGCATTGAATAACGGTGAATAAAGTCTCGAATAACGATATCGTTTAAGCGAATGTTTAAACAGGAAGGTTTGAGACAGGAGCGCAAAACAGTCTGTTTGATCACGAGGATGGTCATCGTGCTTAGCCGGATGTCCAACCATGAAGCCATGCCAAGAGACATCTGTTCCATTTTTGTCCGACTGTAAGTATTTAGCCAACTCGAATGCATTTCATAGAAAATTTTTAGCGCCTTTGTAGCGACCCGAGACTTCTTCATGGGCGGAGTGCTTGAGGAGAATCCATATATTAGGCAAAAGGGAGGAAAATTAAGCAATTAACATAGCCCAGACGTTGGCCCACCCTAGATAGACAATAGGTTTTAATAGTGTGACCGCATAAACAAAGTAGTGCAATACATTGCCTGGTTTATTCGGCTGCCCTGTGGGCATGTTCGATTTAGCGGTCAAATTGCTCCTAACGGGTTAGCTGATTTTCCAGTCCGACCAAAGTCCCACATCTTGACTCTCTGCCCAATTACATTGGTGGTAGCAGACTGAACTTAACTTTTAAAAGTTTCTTTTTAGTATTAATGAAATGCGCATAATTCGGTTAGCGGAACCTCCAGTCCGACCACGATAGAATGGTGTGATGTCTGCCTTGAGCATTCGCCCTACCCTTGTGTTCCGTAGGCAAGTTATTACCATCCGACCGCAACCATCTTGGAAAGATTCGTTTCTGAATGTTACCTCTCATAACCGCCTTCTGATATTGACATTGCCATTATGCCAAACCCCTTCCACATAAGTTGTGCTTAGATCCTTATCTAAATTTACAATTCAGTTGCTAGACCAGTCATGAGGACACATTATGTCTAACAGAATATTCAGTCATCGAATCGAACATAATCGCAGATCCGATAGAATTTACTGAAGGAGCTAGGTGAAGCTGCAGTTAAGCATCTCCCCTCAATCATATTGGAGGCGACGACTTGCACTAGTGTTTTATTGATACATAGGTACAGGAGTTTTATTGAGGCGTTTGCTCGACATTCTCTCAAAGGAAGAGAGTGGCAGTGTAAAAATCTGTCTGACTGTCCGAATGAGTAGCTAAATTAAAACAAGTACTGCAGCTCCAAACGGCTTAATACACATTCACCTTTGTTTGTGATTGATGGGAACCCAATTCGAACGCGGCTCGAGGGTGACGAACTCATGAAACCATAGACGTTACAAAATTATAATCTTCCATTTTAAAACCATATTAAGCCATGCAAAAGAATCTTCTCCTAAATAAACCCCAGAAGAAGAAATCTGGACAGAAGGCAATTACTATTATAATGATTTGCTCATGTTGCTACATGATGACTGGCTGTTACTTTAGTATTCGTCTTGCCCATTTACGAGGATAAGGACTCATACCGAGAGTTCTTACTACATAAGCATATAGATGCCAAAATTGACACTACTCTGGTTCCCCTTAGGTGTGGGACTGTGTTCAAACCCACTCTCTCTGTTATATACTTGTTATAAATCAGTGTACCAACGTTTATTCCTGAACACGATTTATAGTCATCGGAAAATCCTGCCTACAATTCTTTTCTCGAACTGGACGGAACTCTGTCTTGACTTGACTATGATGAGAACGTCGTGTTTAATGCCTCAGCAACATGATATTTGATATCTGCAGTGATTGTCTCATAGGGGTTCCTCCGTCACCGGCTATTCTGTGATAGCTGGCGAGGATGGAGAGCTAGGTACCCGCTAAGGGCATCACCTAATAGAAAAGTTAAATAACGTGAGAATTTGTTCAGGCGCCCATCTGGTGTTTGTCTTGGGATAACCGAAGGCACAACCTCATCTCAAACTTCTAAACTGCAAGTACACAGAGTAATACTTTGTCTATGTGACTACATGAAGTTTGGTGGTCCCTTTAGGAATTGTCTCGTCTTTTTACACGTGAGCTGGCCTTCGGGCCATGCCCAGGCCCATTTATCCTGTCGTCTACAGAGTACCGGATAAAGCCTTTTATGCCTTTTATCTAGTAAGAGACCTCGGAAAGCTATGCAACAAATTACATGCATAATTAACGTCGAAAAGAAATGATATGATAATGTTCCACCAAAAGTTGCGTAAAATATGCACACGTAATATCAGGCTTCCTTAGCACACTATTAACTTAGTTAAAAGTGAAAAAAAGTATTTGGTTACCAAGGCAACGATGCGTTCAAGCATTTGGTTAGCAGACATTTTGTGCTTGAGTTCAACACTTTCCCACAGGAGCTAATTCCCAGAGCAGTACAAAATCAATCTAATAAAACATTTAATAAAAAAATGAATAATTATACACAGACATAACTGCAGTCTCTTTAAGGAATTTTAGCTTAAAACAACGAAGTGCTGACTCTTAGCAAGCGAAATCGAGCATGTTTCATATGTTAACAAAAATTAAAAAATCCAAATTAAAATATGAAACTATAAGCTTGACTGTATATTTTAATAAACAATAATTATTGCTGTTATTTATTCACACTCTTAAGGAAGCGCGTTCTGCGAGTCCCCTGTGAAAGTGTTTTATTTTCGCGTTTTGGGGATTGGTGCCGAGTTATGTTCACTCCCTAGATTGAGTGAATATTTCAAGAGGTCATAATTATAAGGATAAACGTCTCGTTGTTTTTGTTGCTTCAAGGATGTTTTCACTATGAACCGTCCTAAATCTCGAAGCAAACGCTCCAGGGTTTCACTTGTTCGGAGTGAGAGCTGTCGTAGTGATGTGGATTTAAGTGATGACAACAGTTCACTGCATATTTCCGTCCGTAGTGGTAGCAATTCTCCCGCGAACGATGTGAAGCCACCCCTCACTGTTGATGAGACTGGAACTTTATCGGACACGAACACCGATGTTCTGCCTACTGGTGAAATAAATAAGCTTCGAATTCGAAATGGATTTAAGCTTGATCAGTGTCAATCCCCTCATAAAGACAGGCATGACGAGTCTAAATCCATTGCACCAGAAGTCTCCGTAAGCCTAGAGACAGATAGCAATGGTCCTGCTAACAACCAGTCGACCAACCTCAGCAAAACTACGAAACTGCACAAAAGCGCTTCCGCGTCTTCTGATCTACCAGAAAGTTCTCTGGAATTATCAAGCTTGACAAAGAATAGAACGCAAGACGTTAATCTCCCCCCATTTGAGGAATCTATCATCGAGGGTTTTTCCATTATGGCCTTCAACACGGCGTCGGACTTGGAGGTCGGTTTTTCGATTCTGGCTTCTCTTCTTACATAATTATTTCCGTACATCCCGACCAATATGATTCTAACGCAAGCATAGGTAGGAACTCGGCCCACAGATTTTCTCAGTTTTCTTTCATAACAGCATAGTAATTTCTGCTGCTGTTACTAAATATCCGCCCTCAAGGTTGACTCAGTGAACGTTGTCCTCATGCTTTTTGTGAATGCTTTCTATTTTTTTCAAGCGGTAGATTTAAGTTTTTCCTCCCCTCCTGTCCCTAAAGCAGTTGACAACCATTTGCTTGACAGAAGTGGCAAATGGATTGTATTTTTATTTCATTGAAACGTGTTGATTTTTTCTGTCAAAGATTAATTGTGGCATGATCAGCCGTAACATTATTTTTTGGGTCACTGTTAGAAGCTCGCTACTGTTTCTGCGGATTTTGCCTTCTGTTGCAGAATAAAGTAGTTAGTGCATTCTATAAAAGCCTAACCTAGGTATTTCTTCTTATGCATACTCATAAGTGTGGAAATGGGTTTTCACAGTGTCTTATTGTTGACTTTGAGCTTTTATCCGAGACGCGTATTTTTTCTGATTTGTGCGCTGTCACCAACTCCCGAGTCCTCTTCGGGCGATTAGTGAGTGCTCACAAATACTACTTTTGCTTCCCCTTGTACCAACCCCTTATACCAGCCTCCCAATGGGGCTTTCTCCCTTATTACACAGCAAATTTCGTCTAGAAGTCGTGGTGTCGAGGGTCCCATAGGTTTCGTGACACAGCTGTTTCGTCTCTTATATGATTTACTGGAGGTCGACCCCTTTTCCCCTACCCTCCCATCGTGATTCACATCCGCCTTTGTTGCTGTTCGACAACCGGATTTGTTAATATGTCGAAGGAAGCAGTAACCAAAACGGGGGTGTTTTCACCGTGCGTGTGTGCGGCTTAAAGAGGCACCGACGTCATCCTGTGCGCTTTTTCGTCTGTGCGTCGGTGCGTGCGTACGTGCATGCGCGTGCTTATCTACTTGCCATCTCTTATTTGCAAGGGGTGGAGTGGCTTAGGTCTGAGTTGAGGTGGTTTGTTGCGTCGCCTTTGTGCATAATTTTCCCAAATTGTGATCATGTTGTGTCGTTCTACTTATTTCCGAAGCGAAAGCTACTCTTCCACTTTCCATTATCTGTAGGTAGTCATTTTCAAGACACTTTCATGACTTGAAATGTTATCCACGACTTAGCTACTTAATGTACGTGTCAAGGCTGCACTGATCTTTTGGCTCCAAAACAGTTCTCAAAATTCATCTCGTCGTTTGATAGTTTACAAGTTCAATAATCAAAATGCAGATAAACAATTGTTCCATTTTTAGGGTTAATGTGTCTGCTTCATTTTGGTCGGCTATTCATCCTTACAATAACTTGGCACATCTATAGTTTTAGTGTTTCGTAATTTTCTTTGCATTTGTTCAAGTACTTGGCACATGAGCTTGAGAGATTTTAAGTCCGTTCTTCAAGTTCAAATGTTCTCCATCGTAACTCCATCTGACAATAGAGTTAAGATAATCCATGTGTGATATCTTTTTAATGCAACCTTGAGTAATTTGCTTAATGCCACTGGCACGCATTCTGTAGCTCTACCTGTTCAGTGCCATTGTTAGTGCTGGGGTCTGCTAACTCCAGGTAAGAATCACCACAAACTACTCTCTGGATCTTAGTGAGCGCGTTTTGGAAGGCCCTTTTGAGACCTTACTATTGCGAACCGTGGAGGAGATGGTTTTGTTCCTCCTTTGGTGTTATGCTTTCGCTATGCCACATGGCTTCTATCACGCTGGACGAGGTGAGTCAGTCACCAATGCTTTCTCTGTAATAAACAGCTGTGTGCGCGCACGGGGGTAGAGGGTGAGAGTGAGAGAAATACGAGGGGGATGGAGGGGAGGAAAGGGAGAGACAGCAAATGTAGGAAGCGGGTTAGGTTAGTGGGTGGATGGATGGACTGATGGATGCGCAGGTCTGTAGTTAGAGGGACAGCATAGTGCTGCCGCTGGTGATTGCTATCTCTTCTCCCCGCACCGTAACCCTCTACATTTATACACAAATCCCTCTTTCGTATCTTTGTCTCGATTCTGACTATCCTCGAGCGATCGTCAAAACTTATGCTACGATAAGGAGCACATTAAGTAGGCGTTCTCGTGAACTGGGTCATACTCGGCTAAAAGGACTTTTCTGTAGTCCAGAGCACCCGTGGTGGTAAATTGCGTAGGTATTGTCTTAAGTTCATTGGTTAAATTTTGGGATGAAAATTTTCTTGCCATTGCGACTGTTCCATCCAGTTTTAACTCCTGTTTTCGCTGATCTCAAATGCTTTGAGTGTGTACAACGTGGTACCACTACCAATGTCTTTTTATTCTTTCAATGACTGACATTTTAGTTAGGTTAGCTGTAGATAGTCACAACGTCGTTTCCCTTCCACACCATGATCCAGTCACATCGGCCCACAAACCACGGAGCCAAGTCTGTTCGTCTCTCATCGTCTCACTTGTTTCTATTTGACATGAATTCATGACTTACCCACCGTTTTGCCTGTTGCGCTGGCTGTGTTTGAGACATTGATTTTCGTGTACCATTTCTGTTGTAGTCTTTAATTTCTCAGAGCTCATACCATCTTTACCCTTTAATTAATAACGACTATAATTGTGAGATGAAATTTTCCCAACCACGAAAGCTCTGTTTTAAACGACTACCTTCTCCTACATTATTAGGATGAGGAAGTCATAACTTGCCACATCGGTATCTCCTCGTGTGCAAATCCCATCGCTGATGCTGTATTATTTTAAATACTAAAGTCCACTAATGGGTTGCAGAAACCGCAGCTCATCTGCAATGTGCTTATTCTTGGGTTTATGACATTTAAATCTAGGCTTATGCTATTTGTTATTTTCACTTCCAGTTGATGGATTTGTGTAGACAGGCAAACTGCTCCTTTAAAAGACACATTTATGCAGTAATCATCCTGGTTTGCAATGGGTGATGAGTGGCTATCTTCCCCATTTCATTATCATTTGTGCCACTCTCATGCCATTTCATCGGGTAGCAACGCAAAGGTCGGAGCTGAATATACGGTTAAATGGAATTGAGACTGTACCTTGATTAATGCTTAAACATTGTCAAATTATTGTGACAGTTTGCCTGTGTGTGCATGCTTCCAATACGGCACAGCACAAAACACCAGTTTCTGGGTGCATTTTTGGCGGCTCGGTAATGTGTTGCGACTTGTTTTGCCTGATTGAACGTTAAGTTCACACAACCGTGCGTGCGCATGCTAGGCTGAGAAGTTGCTATGCCCACTCACGCACGCAAAGTCGCCATGTGTGTTTACGCCTCCCTGAAATTGGGAAGTCTTCCTCGTTCCCCCCTCTCCTCCCTCCTCCCAGCAACTGAAGTAACGACTTTCTCTCCTTCTTTCTTCAGCACTCACTGCCACCTTTTTGCGTTAGGGTTTTCAATCGTTGAAGCCACGCGATCACACTCCATTGAAGTGTCCTTGACTGTAATTAGGAGCAAAATCATGCCCTCTTAAAAACACCTGTCCTTTGTGTGTACATCCAGGACCACTTATAGGTCTGATAACTGATAGAAACGATCGTTTCATTTTGCATGTTACTGTGGTTGTACTTCGAGATCAATCTGTGTTCAAAGATGCCTCCAAACGCCAACTAGAACGGCTTCTTTTCCTATGCGAACAGTCAGCACGATTATCTCGTGTCTGTATGTGTGCGCTCGCGGATTTTTTGCTTCTTAACTAGCGGGGGACGCGAGTGCTACCACCATCGCCGCTGCAGACAGTAGCAGTAGTAGCAGCAGCATCAGCAAAAACAATCTCAGTTCGCTGTGTGTTTGTGTGTGACAGGCAGAGAGGCGTGAGGCAGCAACACGCGCGTGTCATCATGACACGACTTCTTGTCAATTTGCAAGTTCATAAATTACTGCTTTAGATAATCCACCAACTTCGTCCCAATGTAGTGAGGATGCCATTATATCTTTCCATGGGTCATGTTGATCTCCTTGCCATAAATATTTTACGATATCTCTTGCTAATCCTGAGCAGCTAATTGTACACTGGTCATCATTGTCACCACTATAACTTCTTTATGCGTTTTCAGGTAACGGTTTTTAGCAATCTATTGCCGTGAATGCCGCTTGTTCCTAGTCGAAATTTCTTGCATAAAATTGGATACGTTGTTTCTCCCCTGCTAAAGCCCATCCAGAAGTTATGTATGATTTATCGCCTTGATAATCTCTTTCAGCAGTCAGCATCATTCAAGTTCGTGTTTGTTTGAAGGACCACCTTGAGTGCTTCTGATGACATGTGACGGTTTTTCTGGTTCACAATCAACTGTTCTTGTCTCGGCATTTGAAGCGTTCTTGTCTGGAGCAGTGAAAGTGGTGTCTAGTCGCCAGCTTAGGGTCCAGCTTGGTAATTTTCCGGTGATATTGTCAGTTTTCTATACTATGTTCGCACGCCTTAGTTAATGTCGGTGCTTGGTGGTAACGCTCCCTTCTAAGCATACGTTGAAATAGATGATTTGGCTAGAACGTTTTGAAGGCAATATGGGTTCGTTCATTTGCATCACCAACGCATACTTCAACGATAGGCGCTGAAGTGACCTTCCCGTGCTTGGTGATGTGTCTCTGTTCTAACCAATCATGGGAATGAATTTTATGGTTCTCTTTTCGTACTTATGTCAAAGTCAACAGGTTCATTTCTATAAAACTCAAAAGTTGAATTCATGAGTTTATTTTACTCTTTTCGTTGCAACATTCTCAACACTTTACTCCTACGGGTTTTCACTGCGATTGGTTTTTTATATTCCGTTGTTTTTATGTTATCCAAGCAAAGAGTTGCTTTTGAAAAGAGACACTGGAATTCCGCTGGTAAAACGCACTAATTTGGGTATTGGCGGTATATGAAACGAGAAGATTGCGTTGACTCTGGTCAACTCAAATAAAGTTCCCGATGTTTTGCTTCTTTCTTTGCTGTATGTTAGTTCAACAGGGATTGT